GTACAAATAGGATACTCCACCTAAATGGAATCCTATGATGGAACATTATCATCCATAACTCCATCATTTCCACCATACAATCAAGACCTATACTAGATAGAGACCCAGACTTATCAGTTATTCTTATAACTAAAGAACACACCTACCTTAGGACCCACTAAGAACATGGATCAATATTTTGATGATGAACAACTAGAATAACTCATGCATGATAGCCTTATAGTTAGAGGACACTGAAAGGAAGAAAAATATTGGCTCAACCTATCATATGATCAGGAGTGCATCTACAAAAGCATATGCTAATTATAAAAGGAATCTGCTTTTAGTTATATATTCTTTTAAGTGTTTGCCTTGTAGTTATTTTGTCAAAAGTCACTTTTGACTTTTAGACAAAGCAATTTTCTTTTGGTCATGTCAACTTGTTTTTACTTTTACTTTTACTTTATGTCACTTTATTTTATCTAAAGTAACCAGGTATGTGAAAAGAGTTTGTCTACTTGTAATCATGCATTGTTTGTCCTTATCCTCCACACTTTGTCTATATAAGGAGGTTTCAATTTTCTTGTAAGGCAGAACTCATTTGGCAATAAAACTTGTGTGTTCTTTAAGTATGTTTCTCTAAAGTTTTTCCTCTCCTAAAAGCTTGATTCTTTAATAACTTGTGTGAAAAAAGTTTGTCTACTTATAATCATGCATTGTTTGTCCTAATCCTCCAAACTTTGTCTATATAAGGAGGTTTCAATTTTTTTGTAAGGCAAAACTCATTTGGTAATAAAACTTGTATGTTCTTCAAGTATGTTTCTCTAAAGTTTTCTCTCTCCTGAAAGCCTGATTCTTTAATATCTTGTATTTATCATATAAAGATTCAAGTATGTTCTACCTTTGCCTTTCTAAAGAACCTGTGCATCAGAAAAAATTTGACCAACGATCCATAAGTGTAAGCCCAAATCACTATACTTAAAGATCTGAAGGTTGAAGTGCTAAGGAGTGGAGGATCCTAAAGTGGCTTGAGTTTCCTTAGGAGAGGAGTTGAGGGGTTTTACTTGGATCAATACACACTGTAGCACTAAGACACAAGGAACTTTAGGACTAGGTGCATATGAGTCCCACCCCCGTGGTAACAAAAACAACTTGAAATTGTTTTTTTCTTAAAATGAAAAATGAAAACAATTTGGAAACAATTAAATGAGAAACACTTGTCCAAACAAGTTTTTAAATTTTTCATTTTCAAAACAAAAAATAGTTTTTAAAAGTAAAAAAACAAACAGGCCCTAAGTCGTCATGTGATATGGGGAGTCACTTTTGGGCCAAGTAGGATAGTGATTAATGGTTAGAACACTATTCAAATATATGATGAAATATAAAAATATTTTTAAAATAAATTAGGTAAAAAACTGAGTAACATAGATTTGATATTTGATTAATAAATTCCTAATTTTAGGAATGATTATGTCATTTTCCAAGTTAACAATAGAAATTATCTCTTTTGAGATATTAGAAGCAAATGGGTAGATATTTCTCAACTAAATTGTTAAATACACAACAATTCTCAAATGTTGTGGAAGAAAAAGTCATTTTATAAGCATTACTTTTTATGTTGCCTTTTGAAAAGTGAAATTCAACAACTTTTGTTGCCTATTTCTTAAAGTACTGATGAATCACAACACTTAGAAAATGTTGCTTATTTTATACATTAGGCAACACTTTTAGAACTTTTTGGAAAATGAAGTGTTTCTAGAAGCAAAAAATATTGTAGTGCCTTTTCACTCATGCCAATATTAGTTGGTATGGAACCATCCATTTTAACTTGGTCCATTTTTAATTATTTAGGTTAGTTATCTCGTTTATTTTGTCACAGGGGATATATCATTAAAAATAGATGGATATGGATGTAGAAAATGACTAAAGGCAAGAAGTAAAATAAAATTCTAAGTACTTGTCATGATCCCTTCCATGATGTGTTGGTGCTATAGAGCCACATAAAAACAGCAATATATCACAACTTGTGTTTAGAAAGAGGAGAACCTACATGGTTGAGGAGTTGATAGAGAATTCTAAGAAAATATAGATAATTCCAAGAGAGTTCAGGATGTTCAAGAAGATTTTAATATGTTTCGTAATGTTCCAAAAGCATCTGAAATAGTCTAGAAATATCTACAATAATTTAGAATGATCAAGTTGTATCTAGAAGGTTTTGGATACTTATAAAGAAATGTAGAGATGTCTAGAATATTATAGGATATTCTAAGATGTTCTAGAATGTTTCACACATGTATTAAAGAAAAACTCTAGAAGGGTCCTTGTAAATATCTAGAATAGTTACTTATATATTACCATAGAATGTTATAGAGAAGCATTATAGATTGTTAGATTGGATTGATCACCACAATCCATTAAGGAGGTGGGAAAGTTTCCAAAACAAAAGGGAAAGTCTATAAATACCTCGACACCTCTCATTTGTAACCGAAAGCAAAGCAATAAAGCTCTCAAGTTCTCTACTCTCTCATGTGTTCTAAGTTTTCTAGCCTCTTTGCATACATTTTGAGAGTTCAGTTGACTTAATCAAGATGTTGATCAAGCTAAGGCTGACACAGTTTAAGGAAAGGGGAGTTCCACATATATCTTGAAAAAGACATTAGAAGGGTTCTTGTAAATATATAGAATAGTTACTTAAATATTACCATGAAATATTCTAGAAAAGCATTGTAGATTATTAGATTGAATTGATCATCACCGTCTATTAAGGAGGTGAGAAAGTTCTGGAATAAAGGGGGAAGTCTATATATACCCCCATACCCCTTATTTGTAAGTAGGAAGCAAAGCAATAAAGCTCTTAAGTTCTCTACTCCCTCACGCGTGTTCTAAGCTTTCTAGATTTTTTTGCATATATTCTAAGAGTTCAATTGAATTAGTCAAGATCAAGAGGTTAATCAAGGAAAGGGAAGTTCTAAAGTTGTGACAAAGTAGTATTAGAACTTGATCTGGGTTTGCCCCAATCGTGGGCTCTTTTTGTCGAGCCACCCATGATGGGGGCATCATGAATTAGCTAGAGGAGCTATTACGTCCCACATTAGAGGTACTTGGATAAGGTTCTGGCCATATAAGCGCGTACGCTACATACCTCACTAAACTAGCTTTTTGGAGAGAAAGTAATGGCCTTGGGATAAAGTGATATGACCTTATGACAAAAGGGGAGTTGTTACATCCCACATTAGAGGGACTTAGAGAGGGTCTCGTATTGGGGGAATTGTTGTACACCCCACTAAACTAGCTTTTTGGAGAGAAAGTAATGTCCTCATGACAAGTAGGACCCATCATTGTAAGGGACATGATAGGTGTCAAGATGAAAAACACAGTCTCATTTTTAATGTGTAATTTTGAAAGGTTTTTCATATATAAGTTAAGGGTTTATTCTTTTTCTCCCCTCATTCTGAACCTTGAGGTTGGCTTGAGAGATGGCAAATAACCAAGCATCACTAACAAATAGAATGGAATGACTAAAAGCCTTATACCATTATGTGGGAATTTTTTTCAAAAAAAGAGTGAAATGGCTTGGGAAGTCATTTCAAGTCATCCGTTGTCATCCTAAACATACTTTTCTTAACTCCTTAATTTTTGGGGAATAGGGATGGAATGATATGATATAAATAATATTATTACAAAATTACTCTCATTATTACAACATGATTAAAACTGTAAAATATAATTATATAGAATTCAAATCTATTAATTATTCTTAAATAATGATTCAATAAAATCATTTATTTCTTTAATAATTTTTCAAACAATAGAATGTTTCATTTCATTTCACCCCATCTCACTCTATCCTATTCTTTTCTATTAATGCCCTTTCTTTTCTGTTCCATTATATACTCTCAAATGTACCCTAAAATAATTCTCATGGAGGGAGTGATGACTATTATGTCGAGGAGGGGTAGGGTAATACATGGGATAGTGAGATGATTATAGCAAGAATAAGAAATAAACTTCACCAACAGTGGAGAATTTAGATATTAAAATTGAAGTTAATCTCCGCAAATGGATGATAATTTAAGGACATCTTAGTAGGCTTGCGCAAAGACTGAGTCAGACCAGGTTGATGACCAACCCGCGATGCCCAATTTCTATATAATTTAGAGACATGACTTCCCTTCGTCCAAAAAAAAAAAAAAAACAGAGACATGACTTCGCAGCTTCATGCTGGGTCTCACCCAGGTCAAAGCCTAGCATTAGTGTGGAATGGGCTTAGTACATTGGGCTCGAGACTAATCCACTAGGATGAATCCCGATTTTAAAAAACAAATACAAGACTCTGATATTTAAAAGAAACATAAGAATTATAGTTAAGTGACAAATCAATATTCGAATTTATTGGAAGAGGTACACATATTTAATGCCCAATCAGGCTTCAAACAAGATTTTCTCAAACAAGAAAAAACCTGTAAGTAATAAAAAAAAAAAACAAGCAAAAGAAAAGCAAAGAACCCATAATTACCTAATGCCAGATCTTCACAAGGAATTAAGGGTAGGGAAGCCTGAACTCAACAAAGAAGATGGAAGGAACAAGGAGATCGAAGAAGAAGGCATACGATCAATGACAACGATGGAAGGAACAAAGACATCATCAAAGGAGAAGATGTGATCTGTGACAGTGATGAATTGTTAGAGAGAGGATCGTCTGAGCGAGAACGATAAATGGAGAAAGTGGGAGGGATCGGAGGAAGTGGACGAACACGTCAATGCATCTAAAGAACGACGTCCTCCTATCGGGAAAACTCCTAGAATCTGTACTATTTGATCTTCTGTAATGTTATGAGTTATCATCATTATTATGTTACTAACTTGTTAACAATATATTTGTTGGCATTATCATGTAACAAAATCGCAGATTAACAATCAGCACCTTAAGATAAGATGACAAGCATGAAGTGTGCTTCCCATATTTCTACAATGTGTTCAAAAAGGAAAGGTCAAGCATGAACTTAGTGTAGGAGTTGTACCTGAGGAAGCAGCCGTCATAGACGACACGACCACCAGCGGCGGGGCAGTTGCGGATTTTGACGGCAGCGACGTCAAAGCAGGAAACACAATCATGAACGGAGAGGTAGTTTCTGCACTGAAAAAGAGTGGAAACTGCAGGGTTTTCTCCATAGCCTTGCTGTGCCTTGGCGAAGTACTTGTTCTGAGTAATGATCTGCTCTCTAATGTCTCTAAACGTTGCGTTTACGCTGTCCTCAATGATGGAGAAGTTGACTGAGGTTTGTAATTTGGATGGGGTGCAACCTTGGCTTACAAGATGGGTCTGTGGCTCGGAAAGAACGAGGTTAAGCGTCAAACATGATAAGAATATGAAGTTGACGATTAAAGAAACGAAATTAGGTTGAATCATCTTCTATTTTGCTGTGTAGGGTACTAGGGTTGGGTTCTTGTAAAGAGGTTGAAGATGAAGAAGGAGAGGTCCTGTGGAGTCTAACAATAATGGAGTAAGTAGAGGGTAATTAACCAAAGGAGGGTATTGGTGTTTGAAAATGACGGGTCTGCTGATAATCAGAAAATAAGGAAGAAGAAATTATTGGTGACAGAACCATGTGGCTTGGGTTCAGTGGGATCGAGCTGTTCTTCAAATTTTCTCATTTCCAAGTTCTTGATGGATACGCAATAGCAATTTGTTAAATTGATGAAAATGAAATTTATGAAAGCTTTGCGACCCAGCCGCTTTTGAAATGCATGCATGGCCTATTAATTTTCCTTCTTTTCTTCTTGGGTCGAGCTGATCTTGTTGAATTGCAGAAGATCATGGATTTGGAAGACTAATTAATTAGCTAGTGGATAACTTGGAAGATTTATTCGTGGAATATAACTTCGAAATTTTGAAAACAAAATGACCCAATGAGAAAAGAGACCAACATTGATCAATTCAGCAGCCAATTGATAAGCGTCAAGTGCTCACAAAACTGATAAAATAATATTGCGTTATCTTAAAGGATAATGTTGTTTTCCAACAGCCATTAATTCTATTAAAAATGCTATAATTATTCAAACACGAGACTTTGGATTTCAGTTCATGTGGATGAAAAAATTATTGTTGGTAGAGTTATCCTTGTCAATAGGACCTGACAATATTTGAATGACTCAATCAAATAGTCATATAAATTTTAAAAACATATAATATTATTTATAGTTATTTTAATATTATTAATAAAAATAAACATATATGTGTTGAGCAAAATTTTAAAAATATTAATTTATTTAAATTAAATTATGTTATTAAATAAAATATAAATATCGAAAGATTTAGTGAGTATTTCATATTTTATTTTATTTTGTAATAAAGGACGATCACTGATCAGCGGGCATCACTGCTCGCATTAATGGCGTCGCTAGGGGGCAAATGTTGACCATTTCAAAGTAAAAGTGAACGGGAAGAAAACAAAAGCTTCGTTGCTTTCACTAACCTGCGTGGACCAATGACTAGCACTTCGGTCTTCCAGTGACTTGTATAAGACCTAACCCAAGTTTAATTCGAAAATTAAAGAGGACCTACTGACCTGGTCCAAGATTTGCATTTTATTTTTTTGCACTTGCTTTTTATCTTGAGAGAATGGCATACAGCGCTTAAGAGAATTAATTAATTTAAATTAAATTATAAATACCAAACTTAGATTGTGTTTGGTTTGAAGCAAGCGAAGGAAAGGAAAGGGAGGAGAGAGATTTAAATAGAGAGGAGGGGAGATGAAGGGGAAGAGAGAGGAGGAAAGGAAAGAGATTTTAATGAACCTTTATTTGATTTAAGAGGGAAGGAAGAGGAATAAAAAATTAGTTAACAATTTTATTTCTATCAAATTTAACTTGATTTTTATTTTTTCCTTTGAAAAAAAAACTATTACATTATAATTTATTAAGTTTTTATTTTAAGAATATGAACTTATATTAATAAAAAAATCTTAAGAACAAATATTATATTTTATTAGTGAATTTAATGAAAAATATTAACATTTTATACATTAAAAAATTATAAATTAATAAATTTTGTTATAAGAAAGAGAGAAAAAAAGATAATACATAATTTTTTAACATTAAAAATAATTTAATTTTTTTTAAAATAAATGTTTAAATTATTGTTAATCATTTTCTCTATCCTCTCCCCTCCAAAAACACTCCAAATTTTTTTTGGAGGGGAAGGCTAGGAGAGGAGGGGAAGGGCCCCTCCTCTAATTTTTAAACCAAATAAAGAGCTCCCTTCCTCTCCCTTTATTAGGTGTTAACTAAATAAAGGAAAGAAAGCAAGTCTTATTCTCTCTCTTCCAAAAAAACTTTTAACCAGACACATCTTGAAAAATTTGTAAGTTTATTTTTTAATTTTACAATTTTATTATATTTTTTTAAATTTTAACATAATTAAAAATAATATTTTTTAAATTTAAACATAATTAAAAAATAAATAAATTTATTTTTTATTAAAATTTAAAACATAAATTATAAATTTATTATAATAAAATTATAAAATTAAAAGTCAAACTTGTAAATTAATAAAATTTAACATTTGAAGACATAATTTAATGGGAGACATCCATGTCATTTTCTGTTTTATCTTCTCTAATTTTGTACTTTCCATTCCATATGTAAGTTCTTCGATTCAAGTCCTTTTTTATAAATAAATTTGTGAAATGTGAATGGGTCCTGATCCAAATTTTTCATTGGACGACGACATTGGGTCTAAACATCATCCGAGGCAGAATCAAGTAAAAGTAGGAAGGACTTTGGGTCCCTCGGACCAGGTCTTGCATATCTCCTGCGTACAATGTACTCTCTGTCCTATTCATACGGCTGAGGAAAAAAAAATTATCTCTTTTATAAATTGTCCCATTAATTTTTTTAACACAAATTTTTTTACCTTTATTAAATATTAAAGAGAAAAAATATATTAATATATATATATATATATATTTAATAGAAATAAAATTAAAATTTTATTAAATTTAAATTTTAATACAAAGTTAATAAATTTTAAGATTTTTATTAATTTTAGTGAAACATGTTGAAAATAATGTATAAATAAGATTAAAAAAGTATGAAAAACAAAAAAAATTATGTATGCAAATACAGTAAAATTTAAATAAATCACATATATACAAATCTTAGAAACTACAAGTGAAACCATATATATAATATTTAGGCAAGCGGGAAATAAAAAAAAAACCTTGCACATATCTAATAATATCTTAATTTTATATAAAATTATAAGAAATTTTTATTTTTAATATCTTTTTATATCTCTTCAATAATTTGAAAAAATAAAATAATATATGTATATTAAAAAATTTTAAATAAAAAATCAATATAAGATAAGTTTTTAAAAAAAAATTGCAAGTTTGAGTTTGACATAATTAAACAATTTTTTATCATTATTATACACAAAAAAATAATATATATATATATATATATGTATATGTATATATATATTTATATAGCTGCTCAATTTTTATAATATTTAAAATATTCTTCCAAACAATTTACTTCAAACAAAGACAACCTTATATAATATAAATATTAAAGGGTTAATGGAAATTTTTGTCCCTAAAGTATACATGAAAGTGCACAAATGATTTTAAACTCAACTTAAGATCATTTTTATCTCTCAACTTAAAATATTCAATTTTTTAGGACCCCAACATTAATGCAGCTAACAGTTTCGTTATGTGAGCCCCACATATTATTTTTTAATATTTTTATTATACAATAATACTTGTGGGTCCCATATTATTTGTAAATATTTTTATCAAAAATGTCCTCTACTCTCTCTCTCTCCCCTCACACCTCATTAATCCAAATGGTATATTGTATAGATTTTTTATTTACACAAAAGAGGCTAAATCCTTCGCACGCATTAACAACTTCACAACTTTGTAGGAGATTATTTAAAAACAATCTGCTATCTTTTGTTAGGGTCAAACCAAAATAAAATTATTATCTAATGCAGCTAAAGTTCAAACAGTATTGGAGACTCTTGTTGCAACAGCATTTTTATTTATTTGATGCCAAATAGTAAGGAAGCCATTAACATCGTTTAATAAAAGCTGCACTTTCTCTCTCTTTAATTAGAAATGAAAGTCTCTCTTTATTTCTGTCTTGTGAGAGAAGGAATAGAGTAAGGCTTTCTAGAGACTGCTAGGCGATTTGAGATTACTTAAACCTTAAAAGAAAGCCTTTTTTTGATAAAAGTCTATTAGGCACGAGAGGCGCTCTAGATTCATAGAGATGAAATCCAGAGATTTAAAAATTTCCTTATTTTCTTGATGGCGCATGGCTAGGCTTTTATGCCCTGGTCTTTAAGTGCAAGCTATAAAACTAACTCTCTTCACACCTCATCAACTCTTGGTTCAAGCTTTGAGTGCTCATGAATTCCAACTATGCCTCATCATCCTCTTTCTTCATATTCTTCTTGTCATTGACTCTTGGTTTAAGCTTTGAGCACTCATCAACCTGTTGTCAACTCACTGGCGCAAATTATGAACAGCAACATAATGACGTGCAGGGCATAACTCTCTCTCTTTCTTATTCCCTCTCTCCCCTTGGCATATACTTCTCTCCCCCCACACACACACACACACTCTCTCTCTCTCACATGTACCTTCTCCTTATGATCATTCATGCATGCATGTAGGTGGGTTCTCAAGAGCATGCCTAGCAAAACATCAAAGTAGTCACAAAATTTGGTGATGTCAGGAAGCACCATCTTTATTTCTAACATAAAAAATGAAAGTCGATAAAGAACAACGGATCAATAACTAATGCCATCCCACATTATAATGACAATGCCCTTTTCCACGACTTCATGCCATCCCATTTAAGCTGGTTAGAGTCACACAGTTGGTAGAAGGGAAGATAGGAATGCCGACTTAAGTGCAAGTGTAACATTCAATGAAGTTATTGTCCATAGCATCCTAAAAGGTGTTGATTGATGAAATGTTAAACTAACAATCATAAATATCCACAGCATGGCTAATGAGTGTGTGAGAGGAGATAGAAGATGGAGAGAGAAAGTAGGGAGGAGGAAGAGAGAAAAGGGAAGCAGAAGTCAGGGGAGAGAGAGAGGGAATGAAGGAGAGAGAGAGAGGGAATGAAGGAGAGGAATAGGGATATTTTTTATATTATAACAAAATGGTGGGATCTACTAAAAATATTAAAAACTTAAATGTGGGACCCACATAATGGTAAAATTGAGAGAGTTAACATCAGGGGTACGGTAGCAACATATTTGTAAGTTGAGGGATAAAATTGACTCTAAGTCAAGTTTAGGGGCTCTATTGACTTTTTGCTTACACTTTAAGGAAAAAAATGAGCCTTAACCCAATATTAAATATTACTACTTTTTATTAAGAAAAAATATAACTTT